CAGGCATTATTAGTAATCACGATTTTAAAGAATTTTACTGAAGAACATAAACAACTGTAACCCCTACTTCTTGGACAGAATACAATCCCACAACAGAGTAACATTAAAAGATTGTACGTCTTGAAAAAAATCCATAGGTACTACATTGGACACCTAGGATAGGACTTAGGCAAATTTAGCCCCCCCAGCTACAGCATTTCAATAAGCTCATATTCCAGTAACCACAAAAATCTATTGCAGGTCCAGATTATTTAGAAGCATTTGGACTGCATGGTGTTCTGAAGCAACCAAACGTACTTATGGATTCAGCCTACCTGGGAGACCCACATGTCTGTGCTGAAAGCAGAAGTCCTCTGATCTGACAGGCAGGCTCACTTACTTCTGGCTTCATACTATGGTCCTATGTGGCCAAGGACCCCTGCACATAGAAGGCAATTTAAGAGGAGAAGTCATATTTTTCATCCTTGCATCTCCTTCCTAAGGAGCCGGTGTCTGGGCTGCGATGGTGCCTATGACCCACCAAATCTTTGCGCTTCCTACCATGTCATGGGCCAGTGACTGCATGTGAAAGAGTCCCCCATTCTGTTTGTTGCCCAGGCTCTCTCTCTCACTGTACAGATATTTGAGGTATATTTATGCCCTGCTCTCTGAGTGAAAATAAGAAAGTCCCTCTTCTAGTCTTTTCCCAAGCATTCGTTCTCCAGTTTTAGCATTTACTCACCTCTTGACTTGGGTACCTAACACCCACGAATCAAGTTTAAAGCCCTTCTTGTCAGATTAGCAGATCTTTTCACAAACACTTTCTCTCCTTCTGAGGGAGTCATTGTAACCAATGATCATAAAAGCTGGTTTTAAAATTAATTGGGCTGTCATTGAGCACATTTTTAAAGTCTCTTCTCATTGTTAAACAGAATCCTACATCGGTCTTTGTTTTAGAGTACTGAAGCAGCCTGCCCTTGTCCTCCCCCTGTTGTAAAAGCTGATGGAAGCTAAACGTGAAAGAAGCCTTTCTGTTTTTTCCACTAGGAGGTAATTGACTCAAGCCTTCAAAACTAATTAACTTCTGCAGAGTCCAAGATGTGTGCATGGTTATGGAAGATATTAATTGATGTGGATAGCAGCAACAACAACAAAAAATGCTAAGTTCCCCAAGTCTCATAATATCAGTTAACTGCAGGATCATGCTGGGATGGAAGTGTCAAGAGTTTTGTAGATGGAAGTGAAAGAGAAATGACAGACCAGATGACGTGACCTTGTTAGAGGTCTGAAATCTCACCCTAGGGTAAAAGTAGAGACTTAATTTCATTCTGAAGGCTGCAATAGAAGGGTGCTTACAAACTCTCACCGACACCTCCTGTTCCTAGATGGAGGCCCTCTTTTCCCATCATTTAGCTTACAGGACTCTCTTTTTCCTAACTCTCTGCCCTACCCAGCCTTCTTACACCCCTCCAGGAATCTCAGTCCCCTATAGTTCATGCACAGACAAGAGTTTGTCTTTGTCTCAGCAATTTGCTGAGGAGAGGCAGAAATTTCATTATCAAGAAGGAAAAGCTGAGGCCTGCTTTTAACATTCCCTATTCTGCTTTTGGAGCAAAAAGGCTTGCTCACTCTCACATGAGCTACTTTGGTGAAGAGGACTCAGTGTGGAGGCATGGGCAAGGTAGACATAGAGTACATATGCTCAGGACTGCTCAAGACTGGTATTGTCACTATGTACGATAATGCTAATTAGTGCATAGTGATATTAGTATTTTGTGATACTGCCTACATTTACAGTGGGGTGCTAGCATGATAGTGTCATGGTGGCCACCACAAGTCTGCCCAAAGATGCAGCTGGAACATCCACTGGTTCTGCAGAAGAGCTCCAATGGAACCTGCCACCAGGAGGGCAGGCGCTCCAGGATCCTGAGACAGTCTGCTAAACGAGGAGGATAGATCAAAGCTGAATTATTTCTGGGAAATATCTATGTCTGTGGGAAAGAAATCGAGTGTATATGTAGTCATCGTAACTATTAAGTCCTCCAATTTGGGAGGACGGATACCAATGTCAAAAATAGACCAGTGACAAGCTGGTGAACAGAAACAGGAGGTCTAAGAGATTCCTTCTATGAATAAGTCAGAAGCACTGTTCTTCCTCTGTTTGGACAGTCATCCAACTTAATGATCAAGTCAACTTAATGATCTTTTAATGAGTTAAAGGTATATGCATGTGAGATACTGATACCTGAACAATTACAGACATAAGAGTTTTGCAACTGTTTTTTATTACAAATAATTACTCTACAGATCATTTCATCATTGCTTGGTGGAAAACATAAAATAGTTAATCTAGGATGTGTACTACAATTTTCTAACCTGTTGCAGTTCAGACATGAGGCCTTCCTTTTAATAGCTAAATTCTTAATATTTTGACTAAAGAATCTCATCAGGCTTAAACTCCCAGTATACATCGCCATAGTGTTCAGAATCACCAAGGGTAGAAGTGAAAAATCTTTTACAACTCATCTGGAGCAGTGCAAGCCAAAGATGGTCACTATACTACATTTGCTAATGTTTTGAATTTTCATATGTGTATGAGCTATGTAAATTAATGTGGCTATTAGGGTATAGCTGTACAATGGGAAAATATTTTAATGCACATCTTATAGTTGATAACCTTGTAGATTGTCATCTGCCTCTACTTAGAATCTCCAAGAGTTTTGTGATAAGGTGGTATTACATCTAAGCCCGGAAAAATCTCATTTCCAATTGGTAAGGAAGATAATTTTAAATAACCTATGCTTTTCCTCTCTGTTGCTTAAACTGAGGTCTCAAGCTGGCTAATATGCAGTGCTATTTTCTTTTCTGAAAAATTCACTAAAAGATAGCTAAGTATAGATTTCTTATGTTAAATTTCTATGTAAACAATTGTTGTAGATAACCAAGGCTGATCATACAATTGCAAGTGTAAAGTAAGCTTGTTCCAAAGGCAAGAGCAAAAAAGAGATAGTGCTCTGTACTAGTGTTAATGAGTGGAGATGGGGGTCTTTATCACAGAGCTGTCTCAAAACTTGTTCAAAGTCATTAAGCAAATGCCATAGAAAGGCTTTTAAATTCATACAGCAAAACCCAAACTAATTCTGTTGTAAAGAAAAAGCTAGTAGTGTATAGTAGTAAGTATAAACCTCATATTTCTATTTATAATGTTTATTATGATGAACGCAGCATATACTGTTTGTCTCTAGTATTTGTCTCCAAATAATTTCCAAACCAGTTTCCCATTTGCAAATATTGAATCTTTGTAAAATACTCCAGGCTAATTATTTGTGAATAGTTCATTTTAGCATTCACTATTTGTGGCTGAGCAGTTAGATGCTTACCCGGTGAGGGAATGTAATTTAATATAATTTAAAAATTTATTTGCTGAGTCAGTGCTCAGCTAGAGTAACCTTTTTAATTGGAAAATAATGGAGAATAAGTTATGACTGGTCCTTAATGTTACCTTATAATTACTGAATAAAATGTAGGGATATTTAAATGTAATTCTAATTAAAAATGCCAAATAATGTGATCTTTGAACACCAATGAGAAAAATAATTTATTCAGAAATTATATACAACTCTGTCATTGCTGAGTTTGTCATAATCCTAAGCTGTGCTAATAAATTCATTTAATTCACAGCTCTTTCAAAATCCTATATAAAATGTCATATCTGTAACTCAGAAATGCTTATCTTAATATAACTCTAACTGTTTTTTAATAGTAGAATGAGGAAGCCTTTACAATTACTAGATACAGAAGTTTTATACTAAAAAATCTTTGAAAAACAATTAAAAGGACAGTTTTCATTTTAAGCAAGTTTATTAATGTTTTGAATCTCCTCTAGGCTATTCTTGTGTTAAAAAACACTTTTTGATTTTAAAGAAACTATCCAGGTACAAAAATTTAATGTAAGCAAATGTTTAAGTGTGAGGCAACATTGCGGTTTGTGAAATATCAACGAGAGCAAGGTAATGATCCTGTGGCAGAAGAAAAAAATCAAAGATTTCATAAAGCACAACGGTATAATTTTTTAAATGGCAGGTAAGGTGAGGTAAGGCTAGAGACAGGACCTCATCTCTACTCATGCTGAAGGCAAGGCGCTTATTGCCATTAACAGTGAATGGTCAAATGTCATCAAGTTGTTTCATATTATGTCATCAGCAGAAGCTTTTTCCTGTGTCTTCAGACTCCATCATATACCCAGGTTAGCTAGCCTTAAAAACACATGTAAAGAAGAGTATTAATTGACTTTTTTTTTCTGTGAAGCTTATTCAGAAGCTTAAACAGAAATTCTGGGTTTTGTGAATAAAACAGAATTTTTCTTTCTAGCCTGAAATTGCTGTATATGTAGCACTGCCTAGCAAGTGTCAGTGCTAACAAACGAGTGATAGTTTTTAGTTCTTTTAATTAAATTACATTACTAACATTAACTAACCTAGTGCACTGGCATGTCATCCAAGCTTACAAATGAAAAAATGTTGCAAAATAAAAAAGGATGTCTAAAAAGTTTAAATCAGACATAGAGGTCAAGTAGACAGAGAACTTTTTCATAATTAGATTGCAATCACTAAACATTTAGGCCCTGTTACCTGCACATCTGCTGCAAATGATGTCAGAAGTCATTCACAGGTCAACCTACACAGTTTTCCAAAAGCTTCGAAATAGTCAGATTTGGTTTTGTTTGTTTTGTGTTGCATTTCTTAAGGGATGGTTTACAAGAAGATGGTATTTATTTTCTGGAAGAGTGACTCAAATACAGAAGACCTCCAGTTAATATTTATCTGACAGATCTGATACTGACCTACATTCAGAAGTTTTTGACAATTTTAAAATGTAATAATATAAAGCAGTACCAGTGTTACCAGCTGAATGTCTTCCCACAGAAAAAATAAATGCATAAAATCTTGGTTTTGTGTGATAAGTGACAACTATAGTTGTTCTCTCAAAAATTTTTTTCTTTTTTTTTTTTTTTTTTCCAGTCGAAAACATATGTGTGCAGTTGGCAAGGGGATACCTTGTGTTTCACAGTTGACTTTGCTCTGGGGTTTACTTGTTTTGACAGTAAAACAAAGGTAAGAGGAAAAAGAAAAGTAAACATAACTTGGTTTTGATTTACTATTATTGACGTTATCATTAACTTTATGTTCATCAGTAGCAGTAATTTATTATGTTGATGCTGAGTATTTCTTCCTCAAATATTCTGTACATTTTATTTATACAACGCTACTGAAATGTAGTCAGTTTGAGAGTAGAAAGTAACAGTTATACTTGTGCCTTAGCATGTAAAGATAAATTTTTGGAGGAAAATATTAAAAAAGTAATTTTCTTTTCAAGTAATAAAAGCAAAGAAAGGTTTTATTTAGCAGAGAACTTGGTTTCCTAGTAATGAAGAAATGTCAAGATTTTTAAAAGATCACCAGTCATGAAAAAAATTGTCACTTGATTCTATTTGTTTTGAAGCTATGGATATAAAATAGGATTAATTATTCTTCCATCATAAGAAATTTAAGCCATGTCTAAAATAAACAGAACAAGGGCAAATGCATTTCAAAGTCATAATCTATAAGATTAAATTCACTTATCTTGCAAAACAGAGTGGCTATATATAAAGTGCCTACAGGGGATGGCTTATGATACATGCTAACTTCCAAGCCCTCTCTATAATTCTACTATTTTATATATAATTTAAAGTGATGTTTTAAGTTATTCTAAATGGATGTATATATTTGTTCGCCAGTGTAAGTAAACATGCATATAAAAATATTTCTGCCTTGGTAGAGTCTATCCTCTGAAATATGGTCTCCAACTGGAAACTGAAAGCATTTTTTTAATATATATGAAAGAAATTCAGCCAGTCATTCTGAGTTAAGAGGAAACAAAGTGCATTTTGAAATTCTGACACAGGATCTAGATTTTGTGTGTTGGCATTTTGGGGTTTGGGGGACAACATGTACAAATCTTTGTGCAGAGAAATAATGACCAAGATCATTGTTATTTGAAAATTTAGACTAATTGCATTAAGTATGATATCCTATGAGGTAGCATAAAATTTCAGGAAATACGTTTGTATACCTTTCTCTGCCTGAGGTGATACTGCATTCTGAAATTGTGCTTTCTGCACAGTTTACACATTTTACTTGTAGCCACAAATTAACTATAGAAAGTAATGTCATCAAATTTAGACTATAGAAAATGTTTCTTTTAAATGTGAAGATTAATTGGATGTACTCCCACCTTTAAAATTATAAACTTCTCTATTGATACTGCTTTTTTACAAGATCAGAAAATGAGCCATAATTAAAATCTTATTCTTACTGCATTCAGTAGAACAAAGATATTACCTACAGAAAGGATAGAACTTTGGGCCACAGTGCCTACCTTCACTATTGATGATAGGGAGGATTTAGATTGACTTTTGTTGCTTACATAAGGAGAAAAATAGAGAATAACATCAGGTAGATTCATTCTGTTGTTAAACTGTAAAAATTCTGGAGAGCTCAGGACATTTATTGTTCATCTGTGTGAGACATGGCAATGTCCTCTGCATCCTCAAGCCTGAGTAAGGTAGTAAGGCATGGCTTCATCTTACTTCCCATAATTGTCAGCTGGAGTTGTCTGTGTTGTCCAACACTCATAGATTGTTCAGAATATTTCCTACAAACACTGAATAGATTGTGAAAGTGGTCAAGCAATTAACAGTTCATTAGGGACACAGCAGTTTGCTGAAAACCTTATTTTTTCCCGGAGTTAATGAATTTCAAATTAAAGTCACCTATTGATGCAAATAATGATCTTACACCACAGCAGGTGTTCATACAAACTTATTGAAATGAAGGTCAGTTCCCCATCTGCCCTATGACTCTAAGCCTGGATCTCAAATTTTGGGCAACCAGCTCATGTACTCATTAAAAATTTTATTGACTGCAGTCTGTAAAATAATATAAAAAGGGCCTTCTTATTACAAATGACAAAATTAAAATGGTGAGAACATTTGCTTAGAAGTTTAAGTGTCTTTTAGAAAGCTCTTCTCTAGAACAGTTGGGGGGATTCTTAAGCTTGTTTGAAAGAATTACTTCATTTCATACATGTTCTGTTCCAGGGTCATCATGGGCTTAACTCATTCAGCTGTTATCATTTTAGGCCAATTACAGACATACTCTTGTGGCCTGCAGCTGCTTTATATCTGACTGTAGAGATTTTTTTTTTGGCTTGGTTAGTTCATCTTCCCTATCCTGTGCCTCCAGCTGCTCGTCCAAGATAAAGGGATCCCAAAGTGTGCATTTTCTTCCACCTTCCAGAGCCATCTATGTAATTTCTTTTCCACTTGGTGGCAACTGTTGAGAGAGATGATGACTCCAGCAATGACTATTATTGCTAAATTGTTCCTAAGTTCTTCTTTCATCTCCACCCTAGCAGTTATATTATATAGTGAACATTAATCTATCCTATTTATAAACAAACTCATTTAAGCTTTGAATACTTTTCAGATGGTCTAATTAGGCCCTCTGGACCTAGTTAAAACCTATTCATGAATGTAAAGTTTAAGCACCATCACAATGATGTAGCATAGTTGGGTTTTTTCTTCAGCAGTTGTATTTGTCTAAGTCAATGACGTTTATGTCTGCAGGGAACCAGGTGATGGAATCAGGCTTTTTGTGCCTTCCATAAACACTTTTTTATTTATAGGGCATTCCCTTTCAACCTACGAGTATGGTTCTGAAGACAGTTGGTAGCACTAGTCTACATGAAAAAAATATTTTGTGATGAGGTATATTAGAAAATGGTACATAGCAATTTTTTTTCTGTGTGTGCTTATGAAATAGCTTTCAAAGTATTTAAATTACGTTTCCTCAGCAGTGTCAGGGCTCTGAATCATATTTCAACATATGCCTTGAATTTTCATTAAGATTATAGGCATTAAGGAAACATCAGTAGGAAGTCTGGATACAAAGTTATTACCTTGTGTATTTTTAAACTTATGCATTTTCAGGCGATCAATAGAAAACATTCAAATAAATATAGAAAATGGTATTGGTTTCAAAAATAATTTCCCAGTATTTGTTTTTAAAAAGTATCTTGGTAACTGTTAAAACATACCTGTCAATCTAGGGTTTGCCAGCAGTAGTGAGATGCCATACATAAATCTGCAGGAGACCAAGAAGCCTAGAAATCTCCTATATTTTACAAAAAACTGTGTGGTTTGTGAGACTACATTCAATAATAACATTTTTGCATTTCTGTAGCTTATTTTATCTGAGGATTTCAAACCACATTAAACACATCAGTAAATTCAGCTTTGTAACATCTGTGTAAGACATCATTATCTATGTTATGCAGATAAGCCAGCTGAAATATTAAAGATCGAGATATGGTATGGAATTGTGTTCATAGCGAAACTGATGCAAATAGCCTCATGGATCTTTCTAGTACTCAGCTTTTGCCATGGATTTTGATATTATGTGGGCAACTGAAACATTTACATTTCAGAGAATTTCTAAATAATTCCTGGTGAATATTAATGTTGCATCTTTTGCTTTCACGTATGATACAGAGCTGTTAATTTTATTTGCTCTGTAACCAGCCTGTTATCAGGCACTATGTTTACTGCCCTAATGCTTTATCTTAATACATAAACGTAGATCATCAGTCTGTAGTTCTAGGTGAGTATAACAGAGCCCTTAATCAAATTTATTTCTGTTTAGAACGTGCTGTGGAGGTTTAAGTTCTCTCAGCTCAAAGGCTCTTCAGATGATGGGAAAACAAAAGTAAAGCTGCTTTTTCAGAATCTAGACACCAAACAAATTGAGACAAAGGTAAGGAACATCCTCTTTCTCAGCTTAATAAAAAATGAAATAGAATTACTATCAAAGCATCAAAACTTTCATTTACTACTGCACATGCATATGGTGAACTCCACATCACAGGTTGTCTTTTTTTCCTGTTATCTAGAAACTCCACAAGACATGGAAGTGATATAGTATCTATATACTTGTTACACTATTTGTACAAGCCTATTACCGGGTTGTATTATGATGATGTTTTACTGTTTCGGAAAGATTATTTCTGTGAAGATGTTTAGTCAACCTATAATAGATATAGTATCTAAAATCTTGTTTTAAAAAGGATAAAGAAAAAATAAAACTATTTAAATGCTAAATACATTTTTAAGCTGCTATATGGTAGACTTAAAATTTTAAGCAAATATGTGCCTAAGGTTTACCAATAAAATAAATGATTGTATAACATTTATTAGCTTGAAAAAGGGAATAGTCTTGCAAGAGGCGAAGCAATTCCTGAAACCTATGGGTTCTACTCAGTGCTTTGCAGGATCTAGAATTAAGCTCTGGAGACATCCAGTCACTACTACAGATGAGATATGACTGATGTCTCTTTATTTTTTCCTCTACTAATCACCAAATAAAATTGTGAAACTCATTCGGATGAAACTGAATTCAGATTCTGAACTGTACTTCAGCAGTTTCTGATTCAGGATCGTAGTTGAATCATCATCTGGAGGCTTGGCTGTAATGCCTTAATCTGGTCTCAGATTCTGCCCTGTAATACCTACAATATAATAATAAACAAATAAAAAGATATTTTTTCAATCATGCAGTTTTAAAAGGAATGAGGAGACCTTTGATGTGATATGACAGGACTGAGGCTCAACTGAGATTTGGTGGACAAAAACCAATTAAAATAACAGAAAAGTGTCTGATCTATGAAAATTCTCAAATACTTGGGGAGGGGTACAGGGGTTGTACAGGTTGAACTTTTCTGTAGTAACTATACACAAAAGTTATCTATTACCTATCCTTCTAATGCTTAAAAAAAGTTGTAAGAAGAAAATCTCTAAACTTCCTTGTTTATCATAAAGTTACAACAAATGCAATATGTCTGTCTTTGTACATTTCTATTAGTAAATTAGTCAGTATTTCATCAGCAAACTTAACCTGACTCGTCTGTTCGCTCCACTGTAAAAGATACTGTAATACCTGTTACAAAAGGCACAATAATAACTTGACTATAGTAGCAGGTCATTTCTGCTTCATTTCTCACAGTACTCCTTGGGGACAGAAAAGGACAACTATCACAATTTTATATGTGATCATCTGTTGCAGAGAGCTCACATAGTTTGTTCCAGATCAGACAGGAAAATATTACTAGTGTAAAAACTAGCTGAATCTGTGTATTGAATCATTAGATAATCCATGTGTGTGATTCGCCAAGAGCCCCCATGCCATTGCTTGCAATGGAGTACTTGTGCTTTAACACTGGATCATTCTTCTTTCTGTTGTGCGTAGGCAACCTGATTTTTTTAAAAAAAAATATTTTATTTTTATTTCTGTTCTCACTTCAATTGTTTTTAATTGGTTTTCACTGTATTTTTCTCTTTAGATAAAAAATTATACATTTTAGTATTTCAATGAAAATTGTATTCTCTGTAAAAAAATGATGAGTCCTAATTATAAATTTAAGTATGATAATGATAATATCATTAATTATAATGATAAGTATGTATGTACCTAAATGTACATATGTGTTGTGACTGTTGGAAGAGCCCAGGAAAAGCTCTGTAAAAACCAGAGGAAAGGCTGATACTAATTAGCTGAGGATTTACCAGGATTTCAGTGACTGTACAATTTACTACTGCCTCTGCACAGCGCAGTGCACCCACGAGGATTTCACATTAAATAGGACTGGGACAGAGCTGTGCAGCCTTTCCACTTTAGATAAGTGGTATATATATTCACGTATATGCCTACTACCTAAATGGTGCTATTTCTTAGACTTCAGAATTACAGACTAGTCAGGAAATAAACACTAATACTCATAGTATAGTACAGTATCTGCCTCAGCTTATTGTACTGAAAGAGCTTTCATTGAGCCAGATGGTGCTGTATGGTGAAATGCAGACAGTAATGAGAAACAGAAAATGTCATCAAATAATAGAAGTTTCATTTTTCCTGAGTAAATGAGCCACTACATGTGAAATAAAGCTTGATACAGATGACTTATGTTCACTTGGCAGTAAACAGCAGAGTTAAGGTTGCAAAAGAATTTTCTGGATTATATCTAATTTTATATGCTTATAAATTCTTGGGCAAAAAGAAAAAAAATCACATTTGGGAATTCTATTTTTTGCATCTTTGTTGCTAGCTAGAGATGTTGCTTTTTCTCCTTCTGTAAATTTTAAGCCAAGTGCTTGTTCCTGTGCACTTCAGTTTTAGGTGAAGAACAATACGTTTTTCCATTTAAAAAGTTCACTGTTCAAAGGAGCTAAGAAGGCCTAGATTCCTGCCAGTTGTTTCTCCTTCAAGTCCTTCATATTCCCTACAACTTTCTCTCATAGTTTCCCACTTCAGTACTTCCCTGAAGTTACCCTGCCTTTAATACTTCCAGTAATAACTCCACAACTCCTTGAAATTCCCCAAAAGTCACTACAATGCATGCAAATTACTAACAACTCCCGGCATATTTTTATCCAGGCTGACAATGAGGGAAAAGTTGTTGCAGCTGGTTTGTAGGTATGTGTGTATTATCTGACTACGTAACCCTGTATAATGGGTGGCCAAGAGACCTTGACCCCTGCCCCGGCTGCTGGTCAAGGCAGGAAAGGATGATGCTCTCCCTGCCTTCACTTTCCTGCAGGGTGGTGACAAGACCTCCTGATCCTTGCCAACAACTTTTGCCACACTTCTAGAAATTCATCTCCTTTGAGGTGTTCACCTCTTCAACAAACAGAGCAAAAATTGCACACATACACAGATATGTGATTTCATCACTGCATTGCTGTAGGAAATCTGCCTTATTTTTTAGAAGAGAGACTGCAAAATTCCGAAATTGCAACATAACATGTAAACGGATCTGTATAAACGAGTAGCTTTTCAACTGTTTTGAAAGGGTGAGGGTAGTGGCTGATTATGAAGTATTCCTGGATTGTGACATTAATGTGGAGTTTGTATGGGCAGTGGTCAACTCTTCTTTGTATCAGGAGACTGGAATTCTTTGAGCTGGAGATGCATTTTCATGTCCCTTTGGTGGGGGGGGGGGGCTCTTAAATCTGTGTGCTCTTCAGCCAGACGGAGCATGCTGAGTACACATGAGTGCACTTATAAGAAGTTGATATGCAAAAAGTTACTTGCTTTTGTCTTAACAGTTACAACTAAAAAAAAAGAAATAAAAAGAAGAAAAAAATCTCTGAATATTTTAGTAGTAGGAGAAAGCTAAAGGCATGAAGGCAAGCAATAATTCATGGTTTACTGTGGAAACTGAACAAAAAGCAAATGAGAATAATAGGTTACATGCTTTTTGGTTTGCTTCAGTTATCAAAAAATGAAATTACATCCCACATTACAAGTGAGATCAAGGGCTTATAGACACAAACCAAAATATAGAAGGAAGGTGGTTGAAATATTTTTAAATGTTAAGTTTTGCAGTGTTTAGGAGCTAGTGGAAGTTGTATTTGATAAGTCCAGGTAGATGGGTAAGATTACAGAGAGAGAAAACATAGCAGCTTGTTTTGTTGTTTCATTTTATTTTGTTTTGTTTTAAAAAAGGGGATCAAGAGGAGACACAGAAACTTACAGACCAGATGGTCTAACTTTGATAGTAGAAAAATAACAAGATTATTAAGTAAACACTAAGATTATTAAATAAATAATTTCTACTTACAGCAAGAAAAATAAAGTGATAGGAAACTCTCAAGGTAGATTTTTGAGAAGAGATTGTAGCAAAACTGCCTCATTTCCTTTTTATGACAAGCTAACTACTCTGGAGCGAAACAATACATGTGATCTGTCTTGACTTTTTTAAGGCTTAAACGTAGTCCCACATGATGTTCTCATGAATAATTTGGTAAATAGTACCTAAATTAAGTTACCATAGAGAAAGTTAAGAGTAATTGAAAAAGAAACTCTTAAAAGTAGATTCCATCATTTTGTTGCAAAATGGAAGAATATAACATACACAAATTTGCCTGATCCAGATTTGCACCTCTTTAATTTCCTGCCCGGTGGATGTCTGTCTGAAGCTGAAGCATGCTCAGTTAAAATTATATCTTTCTATAATATAAATTTTCCAAGTAAATTTTCCAATGAGCAAATGTGAGCAGATTTCACAGGAACAGTAAAAAGCAACCCTCTGATGCAAAATTCGTCTTCCTGTCCAATTTTAGAGTCTAAGGAGTAAGTAAACCGTTTTGGCTGAAATTTTCTTTCTGAAAAGTAATCTGCTGCAGAAAACTGTTATGGCAAATATCAGCCAAAAACATTTTATATTTGGCAAAGTTGTATATAGCTTATGCACCTGAATACATGATCCAGCACTGAGAAATTACAAATACTCTTAATAATAGTAGAAATTCTTAGCCTACATGACATGTACCCTGAATTTTCAGGGTTGCTTTAAAAAAAAAAAAAAATAATAGTAATGCTTCCAGGATTGCATTGAGACTTTAACTCCCTTAGCTCTACTGTACCTAGATGGAAGAAAATACTTTTTTCCCAAACATATTTTAATTGAGTGTTTCCCTTTCTTCACATCTTATTTTTCTGTTCCTTTTATACTCTGTGGGAAAGAAAAGATAGAATTACATTCTAAAAATTCATTCACCCTAGGAACTGAAAGAGAGTTTATTTATCTTTCTTCACTACATTTGCTCTTTTACTAACATAGTCTCAAATATTTCATTGAAGAAAGAAAGAAAAGAAATCATAGTGTCACTTGAGTATTGTGAGCCATGTTGAAGCTTCAGCTAGATGTTGCTGGTCTCATACACTTCTTGTCTGTTACACATATAACTTAAGAGCCCTGC